GGGCTCCCAGCTTTTGTGTCCTCTGTGCTCATCTGTCTGATCCATGGTGAAAGTAGTCAATATTCATAACTCTGCTTTTGCTAAATTGGAGGGTTTTTTGTTTGTTTGTTTTTGTCAAATTGTAAGTATTTGCCCACTTCTAGGCCATTACCAGCATTAGGGAAAAAAAGGGAAAGAGAATAGAATACAGTGAAAATATTAGAGAGGAATACAAGTTGTAGAGGGAAATGTTGTTGGGAGAGACTACAAATTTGAAGAGATAGGTGTAACATGTATATGTGCCCCAGATTACAATGTACAGTGTATTTCTTATGGGGGCCAAGGATTTAAAATGTAAACATTACATTAGCAATAATGCAATCTATAGACAAAGTGCAGCGAAAGAGTAAGCCCACGTGCAGCATAAAGTAAAACCAAGAAATTTACCAAATTTCTCCTCTTTATTGAATATACACCATTGCTTTCCTCCAGGTCAGTTTTCCTTGGAGCTTTAATTCCGATTTATGGGTCTTGTCTGAATCCTTTCATTTATATATTTCTTCTCAGAAAACAGCTTACCAAATCAAAATGATGTTTAAGGTATTTCTCCCTGACTTACCCTTGGAAGTTTGATATCAGAATTCAGAAAAGTCTCCACAGTCGTCTGTATTTTGCTCTGGGGGATAGGAATGATGCTGTCAGCTCTACGATAGCTGCTCCATCCTTTCCTTTGTATTTAGTGAAGAACAGAGACTGTCAGGAAAGGGGAAAGATGCAGGAGCAAGAATGACCACGTTTGAAGTGACTGACGGTTCCCCCATTTTTAACAACTCCCTTTTGTTTATTGTTGATTGCAGAGTGGCATGCATTGAGAGGAACTCTCATACAAAAGTGCTTAGTGCTTTTCGAAACTATTGCATGTTGGTATTTCTTAGGATGCAGAGTTCAGAGTTAGAGTAGCTTTTCTTTACCTCTGGTTTAGGTTATATATTGTCCTTTTCTTTTAGACTTTTTTTTTTTTAATTTCCTGCCTTAGTACAGGTTTAATTACATATTAACTGGTTCATTTACTTTTTTATGATGGTAATGAGAGTTTAAATTGTCCTAAATGGTTACGTTGATTTGTTTTTGTTTTCCCCTTGTGAAGAAAAATCTAAATATCAATTGAATAAGTGTTTTTGAAGTATACCTACTTTCTATTAAATTTGCCATTAAAAATTATAAATACATAGACAAACGGATATACTTTTATTTTTCTTTTTACCCTGGTCTTTTCTGAGATTCCTGAATAAGTAAGAAGAATATTTAAGCGTCTGTTTATTTCTTTAAGTCATATTATTATTAATTTCAAATCTAGGTGATTTTGACCAGTTTTCTTTTACAAAATATTCTGTAGTTATGGTCCAGTAATTAAAACAACAACTACACACACACACAAAGCCACACACACACACAAACCACTAGCACAAAGAGGACGCTTTTTACATAGTAGATACATAATTTTGATCATGAAAATTATCTCTCTTCTTCCAGATATTATTTTTCTCCAGGGAACCGAAGTTATATTTAAGGTTGCCCTCAGCCTGCTGAGCAACCAAGAATCACTCATAATGGAATGTGAAAACTTTGAAAATATTGTCGAATTCCTTAAAAACACGCTACCTGATATGAATACATCTGAAATGGAAAAAATTATCACCCAGGTATGAGTCAAATGGTAATAATAAGATACAAGATTATACAATAGTTTCTCTACTAATTTTAAGTGTTTTAACATAAAGATGTAGTTTTGCTTGACAAGTTTTTCTTTTTATTGGATCGATATATTTTATTTAGAAGTGAGACAACTGTGCAGTTTCTTCATCATGACAGCACAATCTGTGTGGCTCTGCACAGGCAGAGTGGTTCAGTGCTATATGAGTTTTTCAGGACCAATAGTAGGACTGAAGAAAGAACTGACAGAGTTAGAAAGATCTAATAAATAAATAAGATGAGCCTTGCTTACCTTTGTAATATTGTTAATTCTGTTTTCAAATATGTAAGCAGTACGTGTGACAAGAGTCTAGAGTTTGGAATTAGTCTTCTAGCTCTTTTATTAGTCGTTGGCTTGCACACATCACCCTAGTCTTCTGAACCCCAGGATTCTCACCTCCAAAATGGGACAGTACTGATCCAAGAGGTTTTGTGAGGCTTAAATGAGAATTGATGTAGCAGTCCAGGTCCCTTACAGGAACAGAATCTACCTTGAATGATTTCAAGTGAAGGTACTACTTGTAGGGATGTGGGCAGGGTTAAGAGAACCAGACACAGATGTCCAGGTGCCCAGGAACTAGTAACAGAGGGAAACTGTTCATACTGGTGGAGCTGCGTCAGGAGGAGGAGGATATGATGGTGTACCAGGCCCAGTGAGTGCCGGGACTCTGGAGGAACGCTCTCTGGAGGTCCTTGTGCTCTTGGTGAGCCAGACAGGGAAGGAGCAGGGAAGAAGTGCCCAGCCTCTTTCTCCTGCCCCTTTTGATCTCCTGATGACCTTTCCCACTAGCCATACCCAACCAGAAGCCAGCAGGAAGGAAGGTGTGGGGAATGCAGGTCACAGGGTCTGCCTTCCAGGAAAGAGTGGAATGGATGAGGGCAGAGAGTGGAGTTGGGAAGCAAATGAAGAGTAATCAGTACATCATATATCTAGTCCCTTGCTCTTCATCGGGACCAGGTAAGTAGCAGGTATATATTGTTATTCAGATGACATGAATAAACAAGACCAAATTTGCAGATAAAGCAGTCAGGTCTTATGAGTATTTGACAAAATTTACCACTTTCCTAGAGGCATTTGGGATAGCAGATAAAAGACAGAGTTTAGAGCAAGAGAAAGGCAGTTTGAGATTTGTGCTGGTGTCCAGCTGTCTATTAGCTGTGTGACTTTTTGGGCAAGTCACAACCTCTCTGAGTCACAGCTTCCTCTTGTACAAAATGAGAATAACATATTGTTTTTAGGGCCAAATGTAATCAAATTCAGTTGAGGAATTTGTAGACTAAAATTCACTCTATAACAAGAAGATTAATGATATTGTTACATGAGAAACTTTCTTTCCAGTACATGGATTCAAAATCACAAGCAGATTATTCTGTAAGTATCTATGTATAGTTTTTATTTGTTACAATGCTCTGGAAACTGAAACATATAACTTTTACTTATATATTCACTTGTTTACTAGTTCTTTAGAAATATCTTTTTGGACTGGCAAGCAGTCAGAGATTATATGTTTAGAGAGAAATGATACCTGATTTGAAATCCAGTCACCTCTCTCCTACAATTATTGGGGGAGTTTACTAGCTTTAGAGATTATTACTAGGATTAATGGGTAGAATTTATAGGCTGATAGATTTGGATTTGATATTAGAGAGAATTTTCTAACAAACAGAGTCCATTAACTAAGGATGGACTGTTGATATTAAAGGAGACTTTGATGAGTTTTATTTATGGTCACTGTAAAAAATGCAAATAATGCAGAACAGCACAAAGAAGAAGGTAAAAGTAACTACAGATCTCAACACATTGAGATTTAAAACCTTCTAAACATCCTTTACAATCTCTCTTTAATTATATACACATATAAATATGGATACAGTTTTACTTAAGTGAAGTCATACTGTATGTGCTATTGTGTAATGGTTTTGTATTAGAATATTTGTAGAGTATTGGACATTTTTCTATGCCAATAAATACAGATCTATGTCATCATTTTTAATGCTTCTGTAGTAGTCCATTGTGTTCATATCCACTAGGTAGGGAAAAAATGATGCTAGTTTGAGTGGGATAGCCAGGTTGTCTCGAAATATCATGTAAATTCTTAAGTTTGGGTATCTAACAGTAGTAAGATAAATAAGCAAGTGAGATTTTTTGTGACGTCTTCTCTTCCTACCGTGTTAGTGTAGGTACCATTGCTTAAGTGATAGTGGCTGCCTCGTGTTCCCTCGCATGTTTAGACTAAGGAGGGGTTACCTGTCCTCTAACTTCTAAGAAAGTTGTCTTCTTACTTGGTGGCAATATGGAAGAGCACAGGCAGCCCTGATTAAACCCTCCATCTCTGCACAGTGCTCTGGGCGTACAATTTTGAAGATTCTCTCTATGGTAGGCTACGTCAGTGACTCCTGAGAGGCTCACATGGATGAGCAAATGGATGGAAATACTTAGTATAAGACCTTCCTGTCCCACTGACAAATAATTAGAAGGGCTTTTGGTCTCACTATTATAGAAATACCCTATGCAACTTTTCTTACTAATCAGCAAAGATTATCTCTAACTCAGATAAGAGTTACTCAGTAACTAGTGTTGTTTATCTGGTATGCTACGTTTTGGGAGATCGTTTCTAGATTATGAATACTTTGGTTGCAAAGTGCCTTTGAACATTAACTTTTTCTAGTGTCTTGGCCTCATCATGAGTATGCGTCAGTTGTATAGAAATCATCTGTTATCCTTTGATAATCACCCTTATTATTCTGCCTTTCAGTATGTCCCACCGTTCCTCACTGATGAGTATTTGGAAATTCACATGAAGTATGCTAGACACACAGACTGTATTTTGGTTCACATACTGAAGGTCAGACTAACCATTGGTGTTTTCGCGGCAGGTTTTTGAGATGGATATTTCTAAACAGTTACACGCCTATGAGGTGGAGTATCACGTGCTGCAGGATGAGCTCCAGGAATCTTCATATGAGGATAGTGAGCCTCTGGAGAAATTGGAGAGGGCCAATAGCCAGCTGAAAAGACAAAACATGGACCTTCTAGAAAAATTACAGGTAAAGAGATAACGATGTGACAAAAACAAAACAAAAAACCAAAAATGCTTGGATGCCTCCTGCCTGCACAGAAGGAAGGAAAGAGCTGTGACGTGGATTGAACCATTGCTGACTGCGGTCCTGGATATCAGACGGTATCCAAGTGCTCTGGGGGCTGCAAATACACGTGTCAATTTAAATATCAGTTGGGAGATACAATGTACTCTCAAAAAACAGTGAAATGACCATTCAAAGCAGAATCTGGAGAGGGGAGGGTATAGTTCAAGTGGTAGGATGCATGCTTAGCATGCATGAGGTCCTGGGTTCAATCCCCAGTACTTCCTCGAAAAATAAATAAATAAGTAAGCCTAATTACCTGCCCCCACTTTAAAAAAAAAAGAGAAAGAAAACTACAGGGGGAAAAAACAGAATCTAGTTCAATACTTACTGAGTATTGCACATGTTTGGTTTAATTTCAAGGGTGGAGGGATTGACTATAGGAGATAGGGAAAACTCTGGGGGACTTGGGGCTTGAGCTGGACTCCCAGTGGGTGGTGGGAAAAATGAGTGAGGAGGAGGGGGCTGTATAAATAAGGAGGCTGTGGCAGAGCAGCAGAGGAGGCTTAATTGAACATCAGTTGAAGCTTTATGTTGGGGAGAGGCAGGACAAACATGATGGAGAAGAACTGTAGATAACTTTCAGCATCAAGCAGAACATGGCTTTAATCATGTTGAGAAGGAAATCTCTCCATGTTTTGAACTGTACTTTGGATCAATCTGGAAACCTTGATGAGGACAGTTGAGGATGGGGAGAGAAGATAGGGAGACCAGCTAGCAATTGTTTGTGGAAACCTGACTGCGGATGACAATGACCATCTAGAGTAAAACTCACAGAAATGGAAAGAAAAGGAGACTTTGCATTGCTCTAATAGTGATATCGAACAGCTTTTCATGTGCCTGTTGGCCATTTGTATGTCTTCTTTGGAGAAATGTCTGTTTAGGCCTTTTTGCCCACTTTTTGATTGGGTTGTTTGCTTGTTTGTTTGTTTTTAATATTAGGCTGTATAAGCTGTCTGTTTATTTTGGAAATTAATTCGTTGTCTGTAGCATCATTTGCAAATATTTTCTCCGAGTTTGTATGTTGCCTTTTCATTTTGTTCATGGTTTCCTTTGCTGTGCAAAAGCTTTTATGTTTAATTAGGTCCCATTTGTTTATTTTTATTTTTATTTCCATTATGTTAGAAGATGGATCCAAAAAAATATTGCTGAGACTTATGTCAAAGAGTGTTCTGCCTGTGTTTTCCCCTAAGAGTTTTAGAGTATCTGGTCTTAGATTTAGGTCTTTAATCCATTTTAAGTTTATCTTTGTATATGATGTTAGAGAATGTTCTAATTTCATTGTTTTACTTGTAGCTGTCCAGTTTTCCCAGCACCATTTATTGAAGAGATTATCTTTTCTCCATTGTATGGGCTCTGGCCCATAGAAAATTTTATGCCTTTTCCTATTCAAAAAAAAAAAGCTAACATTGTCTATTTTCAGAAAGAAAAATAAACAGTTGGGGTATTGTCCCTTACTACCAGGATGTTTCAGTGGTGATTAATAGAGTACTTCCTTACTAGGGAAAGTGGGTTTGCACCTGGTTTATATTATAATGATTTTTATTAATGGTTACAAATTTTTCATTAGCAGTTCAATGTGGTCATCATCTCTGGGTTCTATGTGGGCACACGTGACACCCTTAAAAACTGACAGGATCCCAAGTATGTGTAGAGAAAACCTTTCATGTCCAGTCAGAGGGCAAAAAGCCTCTTTTAGTATCTCAGGGCAGTGTCAGGAATCTTCTTTCTCTGTGTCAGATCCTGTTCACCACAGGAGAATACTCCGTGTATGGAGTGAGGACCCACAACCACTGTGGGATTTGATTTAATATTGCATTTTTGGTGTATTCAGTGAAATGAGATGTATTTTGTTAGTACCCTAGTTATATTTTTGAGAAACCTAAAAAAATACCCATTTCATGGAAGGTTTCAAAGTATTTGCTTCATATACTATTTTATTAAGTAATAAGACATGATTAGTTAATATATGTAAGATCTGGCTGCTGTTGTGATGAAGAACCAAAATCTTCAAATTTTTGATTTGGAGGATTTTGTTTTTTGCCTCAAACAGATAGCCCATGCTAAAATCCAGACCTTGGAATCCAACCTGGAAAATCTTTTAACCAGAGAGACCAAAATGAAGTCTTTGATCCGGACCCTGGAACAGGAGAAAACAGCTTATCAAAAGGCAGTGGAGCAGATCCGGAGGCTGCTGCCAGCAGATGCTCTGGCCAATTGTGAACCACTGCTGAGAGACTTAAACTGCAACCCTAACAACAAAGCCAAGACAGGAAACAAGCCATAACGGAAGATGTACCATCCCAGCAGGAAGTGCTCTGAGGGTGCTTCAGATGGGAGGAGCCTGCGTGCTGCTGGTCCAGCGATGGACGCCAGAGCTGGCAGAACCACTGAGTTGGTTCTCAGCCCAGTCAGAGCTGGGGGTCCTTGCTCTCCTTAGAGCATGCCAGTTCTTAACCATTGTACATATGTAGACTGGCTTTTTTTTCTTTGCTGTCCTTGTTGGCTATGTACATATATATAAAAATGGACAGAAAGAGTTCATGCTTTCAGATAAAAGGAGTAGGTGTATATTTAGAGCAATTTTTTTTTTAATCAAAAACTTCATGAAATCCACTCCAAAGGGAATTTAAAGTGAATTTCCCCTTGGACACATGTGAAGTCATTTTGTCTTTGTAGTGAAACAAAGCTAGAACATCTTTGTATATTGAAATATACTTGAAAAAAATGAATGTATTTTTTTCTCCAAAGAAAAGCATGTTTCACTCAGTGGTGGGGAGGTGGAAACATTTGTGTAGCTTTATGTGTATCTGTCTTAAAATCTACTGACATTATAGATTTGAGGAAAATGACTGCCAGTCAAGCTCCAGGGTTTTTCAGGAAAGCAGGGGCCTTTCCCCTGCTGCCTGCTTTGTGCCAACTAGCATGTTGCATCTACATGCATTTTGAGTCTGGACAGGCATTACTTTAGGTGTGTGTAAGAAGGCAAGACATTGTGGCAGAGTCTGCCCACCCAGCTCGAGAGAATGTTACTAATTTTCTAGCAAATTTGACCAGCAGGGTTACTTAACTAAAAATATCAGTCCTAAAAAATATAATTTAGGACCTAAATTGTCTAGATCAACTTTCTACCTTTTCATTTAAATTACTCCTACAGTTGTGAACGAACATCCCTTGACTTAGTGCCTCAGTCGGTGACAAGGATTTGCCATTTGCTTTCAAAATGTGGGAGCTCTTACTGTAGTTCTCTCTACCTTAAATGATGGATAAGGAAATACAATTATGATTGGTTTTCGAAAGATGATGTGCTGTGTTGAGTTTTTTTTTTTTTTTTGCCAATTGGCAGGTCTGATAAACTCATAATCATCTTCCCCTCCCATGTGACAATTCCTGAGAACTGTGGAATGTTTATAACGAACTGTTGAAGTTCACTGGAAGGGAAGGGGAAAGCCCTTCTAAAGCCTACAATTCTGCCTATGAACCCCCAACTTTCTCAGCCTGCAGATAGATTATTAGAGGACATCATGCATGCTGGGTGTATGGAAGGCAGGAAATTTTTAAAGAACACAAGGAATTTCTCCATGTCAGAGATGACGGTATGATAGTGCCTTGGAAAGTCAATGCAGCGTTTTTGCCTTTCCAAACAATAGTTCTCATCACTGCTTTTTT